GTTTGCTTATGGCAGTTCTTAAGTGATCTCTTAAGAAAGCACTCCTCTTTACAGAGATGGGGACTGAATTTTGTTAGTGAAGTGCTGTGGCACTAATGCCTAAAGATGACCACCAAATCTCAGCAGGCAAGGAAAGAATGGTTACTATTTGAAAAATGCAATTTAGACATTTGGAACCCAGTTCTGAGTGAGTGAATTAATCCCCACCCTTTTCCTTCCCCCACTGGCACCTCTCCCAGGCTGTGCAGCAGCATTAACCTTATGGACAAACATGCTGGTGCTTCCTCCTGCAAACTGAAGGATGAGAGCTGAGCAACACCTTGTGTTAGATGATAAAACTAACCATATGCTCTGAGCTTGCTCCTTTTCTTCCTTAATATAGCAGACTTTGCCTCTCTGTGCTACCAATTCCCATGTTTTCTCTTTGAGGCATTTATGTATTTTCATTACTTTGTGAAACACCAGCTTTCATAAATCACTTTATGGCACTGTTTTATTTGTATTTTGTTCTTCCTCATTATTTCTTTCTGTCCTTTCTGGCATTATGTGCTATACCAAATGTTGCTTTCCCGTGTAAATCATCAAGTTCCTTGCGATATTTTTACCAGCATGACTGAGAGCTCAGACTGACAGCTGATTATCACCGTTTCGCTTCCTCCTATTGTTGATCCTTTGCTATTAAAAAGTTTGATGCTTGTCTCCTACTCACCTCAACTAGAGAGAGTTCTTTTCTACCAGTGTATTCTTTAAATATCCAATGGGGTAGGAATGTTATAATAAAGTAATTATTAAGTTATGTTGTTGTGAATGACTGCAGATTACTCGTTGTTATGTGACTGTACTGTGCAAACATAATGATTCAGATGGCACTTCCACTATGTTTAGTTGAATTCACAGGAACTACATACTTGGAAATCTTTTCTCCCGAACAGAATCCATGCTCAGTTTTGTGATAAAGAATTTATAAAATAATTTTAAACCTGATACCACAGTTAAGCTTACTTTTAAGTTTCAGATCATGAGTACTTAAGTGCAGGGAATTAGCTACTTTTAGGAACTAATAAGATGAAAAAAAATTATGTCATAAACCAACAAATATTCTAACAGCATGCAAAGGGTATTAAAGAAGCAAAGAAATTTTTAATATACCCATACAATTGATATTATCAATTTTTTAAAAGAAACATTTAATAATGCTTCAAGAACCAAAGCTTATATACAGTTAAACATTATTGTGGGCTCTCAAAGATGGTTTTGGGGAAATTTTTATATGAAAAGCCTTTGCTTTTGATGGAGAATTGATCTCATTAAAATTATAGGTATGGATAACTGTAATTCCATGTATAGATGAGGGTTGATTCTCAAGCCCACAGAAAGGCTGCCATTTATTTAATTCACCTGCAGAGTATCAGCCTGCAATCAGCAAAGCCAGGTTTAATGTGCATAATCTACACAGCAACATCCAGAAGACTGACTATAGTACACATAAACATGATGACAATATGACAGGTAACTGCTTTAATAATACTAAACTGAAGAGCATTTTGAATGTCTGGCTTGGCACATTAACGAGACCTAAAGATCAAATATGAACTAATTAAGGCTCTCTATAAATTATACAAGTCACATTTTGCATCTTATCACTATTTAATAAAAATTAATATGCTTTTGTGTTTACTAGCTCTTGAAATAGGGTTTTGTTTCTTCTTACACCTTATTTTAGCTTCTGGTACCAGTAGGTCGTAAGAGGCTATAAATTACCCTTGTTACCTTAATAATCACAGGATTGCTGAATAAGCTCCATTCCATCATAACATAATCACATTCCAGCATCTGCACCAGGCTTCAAGACTCCCGATTGCTTATGAGGAACAGTGGTCTGAGTCAATCAATACAGAAAGCATTAACGTGGTGCAACATATTGTGTGTGTGACAGACACTTGCATATCATTACAGCAGCAGTAACTCAACGATAAACTTACCAATCTAAAGGGGATCATTTACAAATTTTTATGTCAAATAACACACGAAGGTCACAACAACAAGATGTGTTTGCTGTATTTCATCAGAGTCTGTTACTATTTACAGTATTTTTTTTCTTGCCATTGCAATTGACTTCTCAGAATTCTACAGGTGTTACTGCTGAGGGAAATGGCTTTGCAGACTAAGCACAGGAATCTGCTCATGTCTTACCCAGGAGAGGGAAGACAAAATTAATTTGGACCAATTTATCTAGTCAACGCAAGGAACAATTAAAAGATTAAAACTACAGCTTATTGGAAGACATTTCAATTACTTTCAGGTAAAAATCTTGGCTATGATTAAATTAGATCTTTCTTGGCTTAACTGAATTTTGAGATATTTCTGGAAGCACGATTTCCACTTGGCCATTCTATGTTACCACAGCTTTCAAAATCCCACAACCTTCATTAAGGTAGAACAGATCAATCTCAGAATCTATTCTGCACAGTGCCAACTGCACGTAGGCAAATTTGCCTCTCTCGTTTTCTGTTTGGTTTTAGTACTCATTACATGTACTGCAAAGGACTTTTTGCAGATTTGTCACTACTTTATGCCTCTGTAAGTAATCTCATTTCTCTTCCTGCCAGGAAATTCAGTCATTGAATTCTCATTAGTTTTTTGGTTTGTGTTTGGGGTTTTTTTGTGGGTTTTACTTTATTTTTTTTTAATTTAGTCTGTTTTTAATCTGCAAATAACTGATGTTCTCCAAGTTGGCCTATGCCATACCACTTAAGTGAAAGAACTTCACTGAGCAGGTATGGAATCAAGCTCTGGGGCAGTTAAAATGCCATTTCTTTAAATGTAGAACTTTATTAATAGTTTACATTATATATATCTTTTGCTAGCTTTAGTTTTTATCTCTTCACAGTAGAAATTTTTCCTTTTTACTTCTCTAGAAGATAAATAATGTTTGAGAACCTGTGATCACTAACTATTTTTTCTACAAATGGAATAGTCTTCTGAACCACTTCAGGGCACCTGCATCACTGAAGTGCTAAAACAGGAGCAACCTGAGATGAATCTCCAATGCCACTGAACTGCTGGGTCTGGTTATTACTCAAGTCATCCTTGTACTCTCAAAGACTGTTAAAACACACATATTTCTGAATGTAGCAGGAGTAACTTCTCCAGGTCAGAGGCCTGGGCAAGGGGGTTGGTGTAATGGCAGTGGAGAATTAAAATTAGTTTACACCAGGCCCTATTTATTTTTACTTCAGAACTTGTGCACTTTTAAAAGCATATAGGCACTCACAGAGCTTTTCAGTCATCTGTGCCTTGCAGATAATCTGCCTCTGGAGACTGAGAGATCAATTACTGCACTGGAATAAAGTTGGGCACATTGTCCTCATAAAAGCTGTCCTGCAGACCCGGCTCCTGTGTGAGCTCACCTACAGCAACATTCCCAGGCTGACAGAACCTGCTCAGCAAGAGCCAGGTAAAATCCAAGAGCTGTGTGATTTTGTTAGCATGGGGCCTGAGATAATATCCTTTGCCTCTCAGGTGGGTTTCTGAGATTGGCCTCATTACTACAGTAACACAAATAAACAACTTTCAGCCCCTCGTGAATTTAACTGGACTAAAATAGTGTTTGCTCACAGACTAAAGGCAAAAAAACCCCAATCCCTTAGTTGGATTTTTCTTAATCTTAGCTTCATATCTAACGAACAAGATTAATTAAGGTCATTAAGTATGCATCAAATTATTCTGAGAACTGAATGTTTTAATAATTTTACTTCAGCCCAGTAATACTGCAAAAGTGCAGAAAGGCTGATTTTGAGATGATGACTGGAGGAATTAAGAGAGGGGAGAAGTGCAGCTCAAATTTACAGAAAGTATCCAAATGTAAGTGGCAGAGCACCACAACCTGCCATCAATCTGAAGTTCACATACAGGATTTCTTAAGCATGTGTGGAAGCAACAGAAACAATTTCCACTGAGAGAGGTATTAAGTAGCTGCTACTTTTTTTCAGGACTAATTCTGCTTGCAAATCACCCAAACGCAAAAGTCTTTCAGAGGATGATGGGAATCCCTGGCTCCCACACAGGAAAGTAAAGAATATTTACCTAAAAATAAGGAACAAGAAGATGGTATATGTAGGACACCATTACCGCATTTTTCTTAATCAGGACAATCAGAGCATTTACATTTAGAGCTGGCACCTAAAATTTTTCATTTTTTTTCATGTTAATCACACAAGAAAATAAACCTTTACTGCTTCATCATATATCAAATAGTGCATTTTAACTGTAACTCAGTTAATTAAAAATATAATAGTGCCTTTGACCATCCCTTGGCACATCTTTTCCACATACAAAAAGTTACTTGAGAAAAGTTGTATCAACATGGCTCATCATATTCATTAGAATTATATTTAAATAGAATTTTAAGTAAAATTCAATGGTATGTTTCTATCCTGTTTTGCAGTTCGGTCTGTTATGGTAACTTATTTAAGGTGCAATACATAGTTTTGAAGGTAAAGGTCTATCAAGTTTCTATTCTGTTAATTCACCATTTTGTGACTGACTGAATCAAATAATTTGGAAAACACCCATATTAAGCTGGCTGACTTACTGTGTGTCTGTCTTAAAAGGTCTATACAGGAATCTAGTCACTTAAAATAAATATGGACCCATGGAATTTGTTTAGTGATTCCCTTTTATTGTAATTTTTGTGAAAATAAAATGGTATCACCATGACTTAATGTTGGGGGCTTTAATTATATACTTTTTTTTTTGATTATTTGATTTTGAAAGTCCTCTTTCATTGGAAAAGGCACCTTTGTCCCCAAATTCAAGTCAAATATACTTGACACCTCAGAGAAAAAAAAAAAAAAAGAAATCCATAAAATGTCAATAAGCTAAAATGGAATGTAATTCCAGTGTGACAATTTTATATAACAAAACCAGGCTTTGAGGTGATGGTACTCAGTAGGTAATAATAATGATAAACAAGTAAAACATTGGTGCACCTAGAAAAATCATGTTATGTATATCTTTATTACAGTTTTCAGAATACATGGATTAACAATGGCCAGGCTGTGATTTCATCAAATTCCTATTTTAAACATTACATACAAACACAGAGCTGTTTAAAAAATAGAAATGCATGAGTTTTGTCACCTTTTTTTTAATCTTTTTTTTTGTTTGTTTGTTTTTGGCATCAGGAGTCATGTGACTTCCAAAAGGGAAATCAAATGGTGCATGATAGCAGACTGCCTGAGCTGTAATAGGTTATTGTTCACATTCTGTGGCATATGTATCACCTCAAACAGTGCTAAAAGAAGCACTACAAGAACAAATCTTTCTCCTTTACCATTCTCCTAATGACATCAGTGGGTGCCGAGCGACAGCTTGCAGGACTGCAGAATTCACAGGCTTACACAACTCCCTTCCTTGAGCACAAAAAGCAGCAATATGTGATCTGAAACAGAGACACCTGAAGCTAAGGGATTTGGCTTTATCTGCTTTGATTTTTTTTTATTATTTTTTATTATTTACATTTTGTGTGCATGCGTGGGCATGTGTGGAGACACTGCAGAAGAGCTGTTGAGGTTTTCTAACAATACTTATTTAAAAATGAGTAACTTGCAAATACGGTATGGCACATCAGAGGTGGGCTTTAAGTTGCTGTATCACTTAGCACTTGTTATGCCTGACCTCACAGCAATTTGAAGGCAAACAGTAAAGTAGAACTCAGCCAAGCCTTTGTTTAATGGAAAAGAAGCAATTTACATACATAGGTAAGTTTGCTCCCACATAACTATTACCAGCTTTAAATATTTACTAGCTATGTCATTCTCAGTATAGGAAGTACTAAATTCACCCATCAAAGCAGGATTTGCCTGAGGGATGGAAAAGCTGAAAGTTGTGAAGTTTCTTGAACAAGAGCTATAGGAGGATTTCCAGCCAAACCTAAAACTCAGCCAGATTCTCAGAGTTTTGCAAACTGTTTGTGTGTTGTGGGATGAATTTAAAGTAGGTTACTAATGAATTGTGGCTTGGATAGAAACCATGAAAATATTAAGTTTTTTACAGCATTTGTCTGAGGTAGTACATATACCACACACAAAAATGCAAAAATATACAGATATTCGTGACTATTTGCATATCACACAAGGGAACTATGGGAATGTTTCCATTTGTATCTGAATTTTCAAGAAGAACAGATAATTTTAGATAATATTTTTCATATTGACCATGGTCAGCTAAAACCAGAACAAATGATGTAACAGTATTTCTGGGAATACTTCCTGGAGCTCTTTCTCAGTGCCCTCTGAGGCACCAATTTTGTTTTGGCTTTAGCATCAGCTCATAATATCATTAACACTCAAACCAAACATCACTTGTGTGCTGGGAAAGGCTATTTGTTGAATCACAAACAAACATACATGACAAACCGTGTTGCACTTTTTTTTTCTCAGTAAACTGCATAAAACTTGAGCAAAAAAAGTCTATAGTGTCTTTACATTTCTGATCTGTACAGCCAGTAGTTAAGCAACAGAGATGTATATTTGTATATGATTTAAACATTTCATTCCCATGACATTTGCAAATTTAGTTCAATTCATTGCAAAGGTAAAATTATCTTCCTCTTAAATAAACTAAGAAATGTAAACAGTGTAACATCATTAAAAAAAACCTCTCTTCAGTACTTGTAACTGGTAAAATGTGAATGCAAACAGATGTGCTGATATATTGTTAACGTAATGTCTCAGAGGACATATAGTGAAACATAATTAGCAAGAAATTTATGTATGAACCCTCCAGCGATTTTCTTTCTGGGATTACTTTGAATACAAATATAATTTAACTGATATATTTCATTTTTTTTAAAATTAGAAAATAAGGCAAGTGCATTTCTGAAAAAGGTGCTACTCTTCTACACTTCTAGATAAACATGTGACACCTCTGAAAATTAGATCAATAATAAAAACATTAAAAATATCTGCAATTTAATATAGACTGAAAAACTATCAAAAGACAAAGTGACCAGCATCAATTTCAGAAAATATTTTAGACTTCATAAATACGAGCACCCTATATTTACATAAATTATCTTCTAAACTAGTTTTCCTTTGAAAGACACTTTTGCCCTAACAGATATGTCCATTAAATTATATAAATGTTTCAAATATGAAAAAAATAGTAGTAAAATAGAAGCATCAGATGATGTTATTTTGGATTTGCCTTTTTTTTTTTTTATAAGATTTGGTTCTTGAAAATCTGTAGCCAGCTTTCACAGAGCTTTAAAATAAAAAAAAACAACCCATGGATATGAAAAACTTGTGCTCTAATAATTACTGCTACCGTATAAAGATTCTGTTCAGAGCTTTTGAGTTTTCATGTATAAAGATTATACCACTACTTGTAAATCCCAGCAAAATGTTACTTTCAAAATTTGAATTCTAATACACTATTGATTTACGTAGACATTATGAATCTAATCCTTTAAACTGGCTTTGTACATTAAGCACATTTATTTGTGCTTAAATTTAATAGTTCCGTTTAAAAAAAAAAGTTATGCTTCAGTACAAGGCTGATGCTGACCTTGCCCAAAACAGGATATAATTCTTTGTATCTCTTGCTGATAAGACAGGGAGACAGAATCCTGTTGCATGCTTTTTTTTTTTTTTCCTGAAGTACCATGAAACCCTTTAGTTTGTCAATAAAAACCCTGAACAGTTCAGGGAGAAAATTAGTTGACAGCACACATTTCATTAGGCTTCAGTTGTATTCCTATGTTTAGAGTTATGGGCAAACCCCCCGTGTTCTTTGAAGACAAGTTTTGGGGAAAAAAAAATTAAAAAAAAAATCAACACTAGGCTGAAAAGGAACTGTATATTTTCTTACACTAATTGGATTTGTAGTTTGAAACTGTGAGAATTTATCCCAAACTAGTCAGATAGTCTTCAGGGTATCTCACAAGAGAAGCAAAAAGAACCTACTGTACAAAGACGCTTGGCTCAAGCAGTAGTGCAAAGGTACTGCCCCAGGAGCAAATATTCCTCTAGAGCTACCAGTTTGTGCACAGAAAACCATGTGACACCTCACCTTCCAGACACTCTATATAACATTAAAAAAAAGTTCCCCATAACACCAGGCAATAAAAGTATTCATAATAATTTCATCAATCAGTGAAAAGCACTAATAATTTGAGAACAAGTGCCATCTACAACATCCTGATTTTTAAAAAATATCATAGCTGAGAAGCATGTGAAGCAGTTCCACTGCAACTCCCACTTCAAGTCCTCCATCACATCAGATAAGCAATGAACTTTCAGTAGAAAGGATGGTGAAGGTTGACCTGAACACCAAACAGTCTGTACATTCAGCTGGAGTCTGGGGAGCAAAGGGAACTCTGGTTTCCCAGTGAGTGGCAGAACATACAGTGTCAGCTACTGAACTGACTGCTCACCTGAGGTACTGCAGTGCAAGGGGCCTGTATACAAAGTAGAATGGGAGGAGCTTCCCAAAAAATCAAACTGCTGCAATCATTGATCACTGCTAGAGAGTGCTCCAGGTAGGAAATTTGTTCTTAGCTGCTAAACTCAGCACTGAAATCCACCAGTAGAGATCCCGCTACATATTTTACCTGAGAAGCAGAGGAAAAACTCAGAGGCAGTTTTGAATAACTTCGTAATGTAGCTTGTCTCTAAAAACCTACACAAAGGTATTTTTAGCATAATTAAAATAGGACAATCATATTTTCCCCCAAATATCTTTATAAAGAATATGTAAGTGCATAATTAGAAAAATTCCTCCTTAGATACAGTTAAAAACATATCCTGCCTTTGACATCATTTAATTTTGGTAAAATCCTATGCTCTGTTTTCTTTTTTTTTTTTTTTTTTTTTTTTTTTTTAGCAGTGATAAGTAACTATACATCATCATATCACCAAAAGTGTAGATATGTGGTATATCCTACTTGCAGCTAAAACAGCTGAATCCACCAGGCTTTACACTGAGATAAGGTTTTCAGCAACCTGACTGGGGCTATGTGTTGCTTTTTTTATGGTTACAAAAAAGATTCTGATAATGTAGACCAGCTCATCTCTGAATTTATTAACATACAATTTTATTATTTTTCCTTTCATGTTCAAATCAGAACTGCAAATGGAATCCACAGCTGTACTCTTTCAACAGAACTGTATTTTCTTACCCATATAAAACAAAACCTAGAAATCCCCAACTCCTTTCATGTGAGTTGCCAGCTTAAAAAAAAGGGTTTAAAAAAAAAAAAAGAAAGAACATAAGAAAATAAGATATGTATCCTACTGTTTAACACTGTTTACAGATCTTGGTAGTTGGGGTAATAAGATACAGTATGTGGATTATTTAGCAACAGCTTTAAAATTACATATTTTTACACCATCTCATTTAATCAATACCAGTATTCCTTTACGATCATTGCCAATTCATATCATAAACTCTTTCCAAAGTATATCCATTTAATTGTAAATAAAACAATTCATTAATTCTTTGGCATCAGAAGAATCATACAGCTGCAATTGCTCCATTGTGGCGAGAACGAGACCTTTCCAAAGTTACTCGTTTGTTATCTGTAACACAAAGAGAGGAAAAACAAATCACCATAAGATTTGAAACACGGATAATGCAATGTCAAGAGGTTTTCAAACAGCCCTGAAAATCATTTCGAATGATATGTAAATAAGTAACTAGGAGACTGGATCAGAGAAGTTTCACAGTGCAGCTGCCAGTCAGAGTTCAAGAGTTCTGCAATCAGCAATAAATTACTTTCTTGATCAGAGAAGCTGGGTGATAAAAGCATTAGGAGAATCCTGAAACACAATCCCCTTGGAAACAGCAGACAATAACTAAAATTGCTGCGTAAAAATCTGTAAAATTTTATAAACAATTTATGCACAGAAACTCTGGAAAAATACACTTTAAGTTTCCTGAGAAAGCAGTGACCAGTGGGGTGGCGAGAAGCCCACTAGATGCTACAAGTACAAAAGCTGAAACACCATTCACTATAATTTGGTACAGAGTTAAAAATAGAACAGTTAAATCAGCCACTTCCTAAGCATTTCCTGATTGCTCAATGAGAACAACTTTTAGTATAAAATATTACACAGTAATTATTGCAATGAATTATAAATATGTCTCTATCACAGGAAAACAATCACCAAGTACCAACCACATTCCTAAATGCCTTTAAAATAAAATTTTAAAGCAATGAATATACACATGCACAGACACAAAAAGGGGCAGAAGATTAACCCCCACTTAGTTTTCTGGAGGTTTGGATCTTTCTTTTTTAAAATGTGGTCCTTCCATGCAAATTTTTTTATTTTTGGAGGGAGGGACTGTTTCTTTTGACATTGACTTTTCTATTCTCTCATGTCACATTCACATTGCTGCTCTGCATCAGTACAGCACCTACGTTGCTACAGCATTAGGATGTCCCAATATACGGCTGGAATTTCCACACAGGACTGGAGTATAAAACAAACACTTCAGAAGCAAAAAGTCTGACACCCACACTGCAGGCAAGCAGGTTTTCTCAGCTTTTCTCCAAAGGAGCTGATTTATCTCTCTGCTTGCCCAGACTAGAACAGCCTGTGCCACTGGTGCTGCTGGAAGAGGCTGAGCTTGGGCCAAGCTGAGGGTTCAGCACAAAGCGCGAAATCAGAGTGTGTGAGATGGATACACTCTTTGAAAAGGATATGGACTGAATTACTGTGTGCCAGAGAACAAGGGAAAGGCTGGAGCAAAGAGCAATCTGAGATCTCAGCAGTGAGTGTAAATACCTGCAGGGAGAGTGCCAAGAGGCCAGAGCCAGGCTCTTCCCAGTGGTGCCCAGCCAGAGGACCAAAGGCAATGAGCATAAACTGAAACGCAGAGGTTACTCTGAACTAGGGGAAACATTTGCTTATTGAGAAGGTGACTGGGCAGTGGAATAGACTGCCCTAGAAGGCTGTGGAGTCTCTACCCTTAGATTTTCGATCCTTGTCTAGACATGGTCCTGGACAATTGGCTTTAACCCTGCTTGAGCAGTGGGTGGCCAAGATGACCTCCAAAGGTCCTTTCTAACCTCAAGCATTCCATGATTGTGTTCTAACCTAACAAAGGCAGAGATGGTCCAAGTACATTAATAAGGATCTGGAGAAGAAAAAGAAAGTCATCTCTGTGATCTGTTTCTGGACAAAAAAACAGAGGCTGCCTGTGGAGACTGAATGGGCTCTGCAAAATCAGCCTTCCCTTTCCCTGTTCAATGAAAGTGTCTCCAATGCTGTAGGGAATTAACGGCTCCTTTAGCAAGATTATTAGTTCTTTTTATAGTTCTGCCTTGCCTCCTTTTCCTAATGAATCTATCCATGCATAAAGTATTCAAATTACCCTAAGTCAATCTGTTTTGCATGGGAATAAATCTCTACACTGGTTGCAGTGTCACTAGGCACTGGAAATTAAAGCACAAAAATGCTAAAATCCAAGAAGAAAAGTTATCAACTCAAATGTGCTGCTGCTCCTTCAAGACAGTGACCCATAAAGAGTCTAGTGATACTTGCTTTCAGTGGGGAGAAGAGCCTTCACCACTAGACTATTTCTTGAGATAATTTCAAGACTGTCAACTGAACAGGTTAAAAACAGATTAGGAGATTCTAAAAACTGTTGATTTGTTTTATTGGGTTTTTTAAGATTTTGTCTTTTCAGGTTTTTTTTTTTCATCATGGTAGAGACAAACATTTTCTGCAAATGACAGTTCAAGTTCTCCTGTAACTGCAAACCTTCCACTAGACCAGGTTGCTCCAAGCGCTGTCAAACCTGGCCTTCAACACTTTCAGGGATGGGGTATCCATAGCTTCTCTGGGCAAGCTGTTCCAGTGCCTCACCACCTTCACAACAAAGAATTTGTTCCTAATATATAATAGAAACCTGCTCTCTTCCAATTTAAATCCATTCCTGTATAAAGCATAAGAAATCACAACCAGTAAAAACCACAGTAGTAGGGGAGAGGGAAATACTTTAGCTAAAACTATACCCTGAAAAATATATTTTTCCTTTCCTTAATGCTCCATCCTTCTGTTATTAAAAGAGAAGTCTCAATAGCTGCAATAGATTTATTAACTCAGTAGCTTGTTATCAACATACAGCTCAGTTATATTAGGAGAAAAATAAATGCTACTTTGCAGAACTGCAATACTAAGATTAAGTGACTTTTTCATTTCGTTTTCTCCTTATCCACTCTTCCAGGTAGTAACTTTATGCTCTCCTAATTATAAACCTTATTTTTTATGAGCAATCAATGCTAGTAATAATATAGATGTTGTGCAGTCGAATGGATTGGTCATGACACTGAGATATCTGATAATGGAAAAAGACAGAGTCTATAAAACCATACCTCAAAGGTACTTGATTGGAATTTGCATTATCTTGTAACAAAAAAAGTTCCCTCTTTGACAGCCCTTATATTTAAATTATAATAAATTATAAACTGGTATCTTAGGCTTGGCACCTTAGTTGAGTAAATCTGCTTTTTTTTTCCTCCTGAATAACCTCTTGAAGGTGAAAGAACTGACCTTTCCACAGCTGACAATAATAATAACTTTTTAATACTCAGAGAAAGAAGGCACTGGTTTGAGTTACCCTGAAAATGATCATATGAAGAAGTTAGAAATTTTAGCAATGAATAAAATATTTAAAATTTCATCTTTTTGGAATAGTTTTGACTGTGTAACTGATGCAGAAATGCATTCTATAAGGGTATTTGCATGGCCTGTGCCTTTGGGAATCAATGAAAGCCTTTACATCAAACATTTATTTCTTCATTCATGTAAAATTTTGTTCACTAGGAAGTCCTACAGAAACACATCTTGTTTTCATGAGCAACCAAAGGAAAAATACTCATGCAGTCCCAAGCACTTCAGCAAGTACCACAAACACAACACGGAAAACAGTTAGAAAAGCAAGATAATTTCCTATAGGTACCGAATTATTACACAAAAAAATGAGTAACCTGGTCATTTAAGTATGTTGCAAAAGGATAACCTGTCACAGCAGATGACAGTTCCAAGGAGCAAACACTGCCATCGGTGATAATGACACTGGCATTTATTCTTTACAAAGAGGTAAAAATTTGAGTGTCCCTTTACAAGAGACACTTTTTTCTGATTGAGACAACTAAATCTTTTCTGTAAAGTGCAGTTGATTAAAATTGTGACAGGGTAAACTCAAATCACTTCAGCCTGGGCAGCCTCTTGTTTTCTCCTTGAGCCATCTAAGCACAGGGAAAACTGAAGCCAACTTACGATACCATTTGATGTAACAGCCTATTATCAACTGCTTTAAGGAACAACCCATGACAAGAATTAACTTTATTATTTTCCTTTATGGACTGCATGCACCTTCATCAGCTTTAGTTTAACAACAATGAAAGGTTCCATTTGGGAAATGGAATTTATAGAACATAAGGCAGAAGCAGAACTGATACAGTGTAAAACAGCAGGGAAGTCCATCCATCTCAGCACCTCTTTAGCAGCCACAGCTGAGCACTGTTCCCTGAATTGCCTGGCCTGTCCCTCTGACATTATTGGAGACATCAACTGAGAAATAAGCCAGGCAAGGAAATTAGGAGCTTCAGAACTGTTGTTGCTGTCCAGAGCAAAATCCTTTTGAGAAAAACCGCCTTGAGAGAAAATGGCTCTCCTAACCTCAATTCTGTTGAGATTCAACCCATCTCTGTGAGATTTGATTTCAAATTGTTCTTTCAAAATGTATGGCCTATATATATAAAAAAATATAGCAATAAGGTAAAAATCATTTATGGGAGAAATACAGCCAAAATAACACCTCAGAAAGGACTATGAAATAGCACTTTTCAAAAGATCTTCATTACAAAGAGATGAAACAAGCAAATAAAACAGTTTTCTAACTGGGTTCAGAGAAAATGTACTGTTAATATGCTTTCTTTAATCTTTTAGTATTTAAAACACTCTTATTTCAATGTCAACAGGCACCCTACACATGCCTGGCAGATTCTGAACTAGACCCTTTATAAGCATCACATTGGGTCACCTTACATTCATTTTGATTTTATATTTTTGTAACCAAAAATGAGAACAGATCAAGTGTTCTCAGCTTTTTTCCAAACAGAATCTCGAATTCATGACAATCAACTTAAATGACAGCTAAAAAGGTTATTTTAGCATCAATTTCAAAGAAAACATTGAGTTTTCAAGCAAATCGTGTAGCTGTGAGGTCAAATTCTATACATCCTTTTTTTATTTTGGTTTAGGTTCAATTCAAGACTTTCATATGAAAGATGAGTGATGACCTGAGCTTATAAATGTTATGATGGAAAAAAAGAAACCCTTAGGCCAAAAAATAGCAGCTTTTTGGTGTGTGTTTTTTGTGTGTTTGTGTTTTTTTAAGCAAGCCCCAAAATCAAGATAGTGCAGCTGAAACATGCTAATCATAAAGCTATCATGTGTTGATCTTATAATAATAATATAAAAAATACGTTCCTGACCTGGTTAGTGGGATGTTTAATTTACCAATATATTGATCTGTAAGGTGTTGAAGAGTAAGAAAAGGTTTT